CAATTACAATTTGCATTGACTCATGATCAGTAAATAACAGTCACTAGCTTTCACCGAGATTCTTTTTCGTGTACATTCCTTCTCCGGCACAAGCACGAACTTTGAATAGATCATACGCGACTAAACAAAAAGCTTAAAGATAAAACCAGAAGATAAAACTTTAATATCGAGAGCGCTCGAAAAGGTTGAACAGAAGAGACATGTGGGACAAATACCCGCGAGCCCCATCAAGTGGTTTTAAATGGCTGCATTAAAATATATTGTAGATGTTTCCTAAAAGCGTGGTCCAGAGATGACTAAAGCAAAAATAGCATCATTTAGCATGTTGTTAACACTAGATTAAAACCGATATTTATCACCGAATTGTATCAAGTGACTTTGTGTAATTTCTATGGTTATACTTACCTTTGTATGTTTTCTAGTTGTTTCCGCTCGTTGATTGAAAAATCGGGTCTACAGTTTACATTACAGTTTTAAAAAATCATCAAGGGCATATTTTCTTAACTTACTAAACCTCGGAGATGTACCGAAACAAGGTTGGCGAAAAGCTACGAGGCATCAGAATGAAGAACCACGATGTTGATACTAGTATCATTGTATCTTACCATCTAAGATCCGAAAAAGCCTGATGTCTGTCTCCCAACCCACTCTGTCAACAGCGAAACCAGTTGGTCGTTCGCTTTATATTTCATCCAATTAGAATGAATAAAAATAGAAAAAAGGAAATCAAAGAGTAGAGRTGAATGATGGTCAAGCTTTTAGTGCGGAATTTTGATAGGWAATCCTTCAAGTGTTAGTATCGCTGRTATTTTTACCAAAACTGAGAGCGCAGTCTTGATAGAACAGTTGTAATTAGAAAAGTACATGTTTGTATTGTTGAATGATGTTATATAAGTAGATCTGTATTACGTAAATAGCCGTCTTTATAGGGCTTGAGTCCTTTAAATAGAAATCTAAACGTGCTATTTTTAAATTGTCCGAATARTGTGAAGTAGCTGTAATAAAAATGATGTTTGTGTGGTTGTTAGACATATTCTTGCATTTTCTTCCGTACATTTAAGGAAATGAATAACAGCGAGGATAGGTCAGACAGGCGTTTCTCGGCTCTGACACCAATGTAGGTGCGAGTCAGTCACTCGTCCAACAAATTAAGCCAATGGCAAGTGATTTTTTTTTGTCTGCACAAAGGCATTCATACTGGGCGCGCATGTCTATGCGAATCATTCTTCATCTATCTTGCACTACATGCTTTGAGGAACTAAGGCGTCACTTTTGACATTTTGTTGCTTTTCAAATATGTGATCTTGATGTACGTCATATCACTAAGTACACTAAGGGTTATCAAGCTGATTTACAGCACTATRAGGATAGGATTGTCAAGTACGCTTCTCACAGCTGTGAGGCGGGCGTGCGAAGAGGCTCGAAGCGGCCGATAAGCTTTATCTCGTTTTGCCGATTTCTATCGTTGCTGCCGGACAGTTGATGTTGTTGGTTTCTTTTCGTCAGTTGGTTTCTTTGATCGCTGTTTAACGTTCCGGACTATAAGACGTTAATAGAGAATATTGCTAGACTGATTCGAGTGCACATATTTCGCTGCGTAGCCGGCTACAGGTAGAGGGTTTGAGTGGCGGGGTATGCGTAGTTATTTAATGCAATGCATGGGGTGTGTGATGTGACGTACCTGAAATAGTCTTCTATCTAGAAAGTSCTACCAAGCAAAACTGATGACAAAAAAACGGTCAGCTGTGGGAGGTTTATCWAAGTGAAATGGCCTCTGAAAGAAAAAAGAATGTTACATGGTTTATCAGGCGTGCGAACAGCCCTGGGGGATCGAGATGCTCGATAAGCAGTCATTCTCTCATGCAAAGTCTTCTGTCAAGGAGTCTCTTTRTAATCGTTTTAAAAATAGTGCTTTTTTCTGCGAATGTCGAATTTTTAATTATCATTAAGTACTTTTAAATTAGTTTTTGTAGATTTTCGGTGCAATTGATGCAGTTATTGACTGCTATGGAATMATAGTTATGGTGGAATTAACTACTCACGCACAGTAGTTTCATARTTATGTTTTTAAAGCTGTCGTCTCAGTTTACATAGTTGAGGAATTTTTTTTTTCTATTTTCTATTTGAAACGCATATCAAATACATACAAACAAATAAACCGAGCCAAAAAGCTATAATATAGAGCAATGATGGAACCACAACGAATCGAAACGAACTCATTTTAATGATTTATATAAAGCCGCAAGACTGTAAAGCGTCAATTTTCTGCTTCATCTTATCAAAATATTCTTTTTAAACAAACTCTGCACTGACTTGAAAAAGGTTTGATTTTTAGGCACATGTTACTGATTAAACCTGAATGGTTGGTTCAATAAAAAACTGAAGAGAACTTTTAAGCGAGAAACCAACACCAACTAATTGTAGGAAGTGAAATATGTAAAAGCGCGCTTTCACGGATTCAAAAAAACATGAAATATGATCCATTATAAGCCAAGATATTCAGCTCTCGTAAACTGGTAGCTTCTATGATACCGGGCATTAATAAAAGAGGGAAATTCAGCTTTGCAAACCCAGTAATATTACAAAATGCTAGGAAAAAAAGCAATCTTCCTCAGGGTACATCATAACATCTCAACACTAATAGACCAAACGTTTCTCATATATTAGCTTATATTCTAAAAATTCACAGGAATCGTYTTCACAAAAAAAAATATTTTCCACGTCGAGGGTTATAACTGTCAACCAACCTCGTTTGCCTTCAGTGTTCACTTGCAAGTTGCACTATCCTCCGATTGATTGTGATGCTTTTTTGGATCCATTACTTGGAATGTCCATATAGAGAAGCAAACAGCTGATACCTGGATAAAGGGTTAAGCTTCTTTGGCGCCAATCAGGCTACTTCTCTTATAAAAGGTAGTGGTCAGCATTAATCTACATGTACATGTTGTTATTTAATAGCCTGACTATAATTTTGCCCTTCTTTTAAACCACTTAGGACTGATATAAAAGATTTCTTTCTAGCTAATCATAAATAGCGCTTTAGGCTTATAATTAATTGGTTGATTCCTGTGAGCTTACCCAAACATGCTGTAAACAAGACTCGTTTGACATCAAAGTACACATTAAGTCGATAAGGGAATTATTATTGCAGTAACTTACACCGCATTGCTTAGCAACTACGAACAATTTGTAGCGATAATGGAAAGARCCAAGATACGAGGCTGTCTGATGGCTGTCCGTTTGATGATCAGAAGTGGAAAATTGTCCCTGAGGACAATTTGATGGACATATTGTTAGTAATTCTTGTTACCCGGGGKTTTTTGAATGGCCTTCGTTTGTGATATTTTCTGTCGAATAAATGAAACAAACAAACATGTAAAGACTCGAAATAGCCAGGGGACTCCCTTACTAAACGATGTAGGAACAATGAGTGCATTTCAGTCATACAATCTTGCGCAATGGCGGAAACGGACGCTAAAAAGTGCGTATGCCTATGACATTTTAGTAAGCCCCTATTCCCATTCTGTCTTAAATAGAATTAGTAGTGGAAAAAACGCAAGAAAGAAAAACGACAATGAATGAATGAAAAGGAACATTTCATAGAATCATTTATTTTGTAAAGCATTGAGAGTATGTGTAATGCTTATTAAATTATTTTATTGTTATAATTATAAAGGATTTAAAGTTATTATGCCATGCGGTCCTCATATTCATATCTTTACATTTATACAATCAATCGAGGAAGAAATTGGCTGAATGACGCGTAATGCATGAAAATGATAAAGATTGACGAAGCAATAACTAGTGCATAATTCAAACATGAAGGGAATGCAATTGACAAATAAAAAACCTCTTATAAAATGAACAGCGCAGAGAATTTAAATATTATAATATTGTTATCATCATATATAATATTTGTATGTGTGTCTTGCGATTAGTTATTATCAATAGACAGGATGCATGCAGTTAAAACAATTAAAAGTGGAGCTTATGCGGTACGTTGATCGAGTGAAAAATGGCAAACTGAATGGCGATAGGAAAGTCTCATGCAGATCCAATCATCGTTAAAAGGGCTATTTTTGTTCTCAAATTATCTGCTAAAACTAAAGGATATTGAACGCATTGGCCGCGCACAGTTCTTTGGAGGAGATGCTGCGACTGACTTCATGCGATGTATAAACATCTATAATTACCCAATTATCAATTGTTTTGTTTTGAGATTGAAAATCAATGTTACTTCAAAAATCCCTCATGAAGATGATGTCCGAATAAAAGCGTTTCGATACAGAAAGGGTTTTTTTTTTTTTTTCAAAATAAAAGGTCTAGTGAAAGGGGTGTCAAAGGTTTTACTATATATAAAAGGTCTAGTGAAAGGGGTGACAAAGTTTTCACTATATATAAAAGGTCTAGTGAAAGGGGTGTCAAAGGTTTCACTATATATAAAAGGGTTTAAAGGGGTGGTTCGCATCTACAGAAGTTTTATCCTAAACTGCAGTGTGTAATATGCGGTTAATGTTGATTTAAAAATAGTTGACTCTATAAAAAGGTATGTTCAGGGCTGTGTGCGTCTATCACGCATAATTAAAGTGGGTGTACATCGTTGATAAACGAGTTATATTGCTCAAACTGAGGTGTCTTTTAAATAAAAGGAGTATAAGTATAATTTGTCATAATTACGTTACAATAATTAAGCCATTTTCTTTAATTACTAAATGTTAGAAATAATGAAAGAACTTGTCGCTTTCATGTGTTTGTATTGCAAGTGATTTCTCACCTTGCTTTGATAAAGTCACTCTCAGSTTCCTTCTAACMGTAAATCGCTATTCCTCTTTGAAGTTTAAGTAAAAAGGAAATTTGCARTGCTTTTCTGTTGCTAGAGGTGATACATATAAAAAGTACAAAAAACATCCCACTGATCATGTATAATCCTGTTTTTCCGGAAACATTAAAAGCAGCAAGTGCGTAGCTTCGGCAACTTTAAAGAAACTACAGGATTTGATAGTTTTGTATTTCTCTTTTTATGGATGTAACCAGAGATCGCTTKCTGGTTGGTGATAATGTAAGATTGACCTGATGTTTACAATAGATCTGATATTATATACTTTTTTGATTGAATTTGCCACATTTTTTTAAGAGTCATTTTACACAGATTTGTGTTATGATATTCTAAAATCSTTTGCCGCTGGCACAGCAACCCTTGTAACAAGAACAGTCAGAACAGAGTTACTGCATTAATTGRACGAGTACTAATGCACGTACTTATCAAGTGATTTATCTATCGTTATATGAGGACCATCAACTGATGAGGAGATATGATGCAGGTCTGTCAAAACACGACCTATTGTACTTAAGAGTATTGCGTCCTACRACTTGCTGTATGTGATCAGCGCTAAATGACTGACAGTCCCAGATAAACCTGAGCTTGCTCTAATAAACTACAACACATGTTACAGGCAAATCACAAAGCTACTAGCTCTAAGAATATCTGATCATGCGCAGAAGGCATTATTACCAATATGCTTGCTATMTTTAGTGTTGTTGTTATGCAAGGTGTACAAAATATTCTTAATGTAGCTTCTGTAATAAAACATTATTTTCATATCGACGGAAAAGAATTACACAAGTTTTGAAAAAGATAATTAGATTTTTTACATTTGAAATTAAATCAATGGTAACAATGARATGGATGCCGGACATATTTCTCATTTATAGGATTGCACTTTTCTGAACAATGATCTTYTAAAATGCTATAATGTCATATTTTCATTATTTGATAATATGACATTAAGGGACTCTTTAATTTTACAATGTATATGCTCATTGAAATAACTCGATCATTTATGGAAAAATGAAGTCAGTTCAGCTCAAAGTGCTATCTTCGTCAAAAAACAATGTCTTCACACTTAAGACTCGAGGATTTTTCATACAAAATTCCAGGAATTTCTGAAATTGCAACACTCAAAGAATTAAATCAAGGCACATATGCCATTCGCGGCCTGAGATGCCTTCGAACAACAACAGTCTTTGTCACATTTTGGATAACATGAGCTTGGACAAGGTGCTGGGCAAACATCTGGAGGGCGAGGAATCAGAACTATGACRTCAGGAGCCTKATTCAAAGACTTGCAACACTCTCTSGTGCAYTGTGGAAAGCATTTTGATTGACAAGGARGAGGGCACGAAATCAAAGGCTGTTGATATAAGGGGGGAGCAATGGAAGGAGCTTTAGGAAAGCTTCTTCGTGGTATGGGTAGGGAGTGAGACGTTTGTAGTCGAGACGGATCATGGGACTGCTGTACACAGCACTTTGGTTCACAATACGGATGACAAAAATACATGCACTGCTGAGGACAAATGCCTTGCAGGGGTGGTACCGGGGGCAAYATTGCACAGCATGAAGCAGAACATAAAGGTAAACAATGCCTTGGGCATAATGGCGGGCAATACTTCATGACCAAAGACCTTTGGGTCCCTGTTGATTGCCAATTACTACCGTCCAAATSATTCCTTTGAGYCAGTCGAGCTATAGATGACTGTTCAACGATATTTGTACGTGTAGATATGCAACAYGATGCATCGCATTCTGCGTAACAATGGATACGACAGCGTCCTGGGCATTTCAAGTTATCCCGCAATGCTTCTGGAGACTTTCCACAGCAATCAGGCTTGCAATCAGGGTAGCACGACTGAGGGCAGTAAGACGCGCACTTTGGTTGAGGCAAACAACATTTGAAGTCACACTCTGGAGTACAAAGCACCTGACATGACACCTTGCATATACCTAAAACATTAGCAATAATAGCAATTATAACAATAATAATAACAATTAATTAAAAACAATAACAATTAACAATGACAATAACAACAGTAACAGCAATGACAACAACAACAGTAACAGCAATGACAATGACAACAGTAACAGCAATGACAATGACAACAGTAACAGCAATGACAATGACAACAGTAACAGCAATGACAATGACAACAGTAACAGCAATGACAATAACAACAGTAACAGCAATGACAATAACAACAGTAACAGCAATGACAATGCTATAATGCTGATGATTGCCTACTTTTTGTCTTGTGATAATGAGATAATTTGTGTTGGGATGTTGGTGCTGTCTTGGTAAATGTGAGATCAGCTGTCAGAATAACCAATTGGACAATGTACAGAACAGACTGGAAAAAACGAGGATATGATCGTTATGTAAAAACTCCCAGTGTAATGGAAAGGTCTTGCAACATCAATTATTAAGTGAAGTCAACGAAAAAATCTTGAGCGACGAGACTACAGCGTTAGTTTAAAAATTGAGCTGAAAAATGTAAAAAGGCATTATTTAGGCTGAACGCTGGAGACTATATCGTTCAGGGCTTTCTAGTTGACACACTTTAAAATATAATTGATAAGATAGATAGAACTATTGAGTTTGCTGCTGTGAAAAAGTTGACAGGTATTGTTCGATCGAATAGAATGATTTTTTAGATGTAGTTATGTCAAGCATCGTTGTGAGCATTAATCRTTTAAGAATCGGATTGACAGTGTTGAGCTACGGATTAAAGCAGCATATTTGATATTAATTCACATATGCGGCATCGTATATATTAAAATTTAGTATGAACATACTAACGGTCTATCACTCATACTGCGCTGTGATTGGCTACTCTACTAATAGTCTAATTTGTGATAGACCACTCGCGGGAAAATCAAAATGGCGGCATCTCATTAATAAATTATTTTAAGGATATTTCAATTTGTTTTCATTATTTGACCGATTAGTATGTWTATACTAAAACAATTAGACCTCTCGGCCTCGTGGACTACGAGCTAATAGCCCATTCGGCCTCGCGGACTCGGCCTCATGGGCTATTAGCTCGTAGTCCACTCGACCTYGAGGTCTAATTGTTAAATATACGATATAGAAATGAAAGAAAGTTATAGTGCAATTCCGGGAGAAAGACCCTAAGGAATAAAATCGTATTCATATCTTGTGATTAATATATATTATTTTACATTACATYTATTTAATAATTAATATAATGTTTGTTATAAATTTTTTAGTATACAGTATAATACAGTATATCAGACAGAGTAGAAATTATTTGTATAGGTATTATTTATTTTTGTATTCATTATTTGTATTATTAAAAAATTAATATATATTGTCTTATTGTATTGTTATCATCAATACAGCCTTTTGCAAAAATTATGAGAATTGTCTAAATATCTAAATATCATAATCCATATCCATATATTGTCCAGAACACGCGGGTTTGCTAGAATAATTCATTGTTGACATCGAGAAAATGTTCAGAACTACGGATAAGTATGTCGCCAAAAAAGAAAATAAACAACAGAGACAAGGGACTAAGGGCATCGCGCGGGATCATGCACTTGATATTATGATATTTAGATATTTCAACAATTCTCATAATTTTTGCAAAAGGCTGTACAGTAATGTTTAGGACAATATGTCGGAAACAGTATTGTTATAAAAACATACAATTTAAAAATGTTTTTCTTTCTCTTTGAACAAATTTCAATCAATATATATAGTCACTTATATACCGAATTTCAAAAAAAATCCGCTGTCGTCCTCGCGCGCGGCTACCTCTCCGCGTCTTCTCTCGTGCGTGCCATATAGTTCCAAACCCATCGAAGCAAGTTGAACAACAAGTGCAACGATAAATATAAAAGGCAATGTCTTGCTTCAAGGCATTTCAATATTTCGCAACTATGAATATGACCTTTTGAAGAAATTTTGTTGTAT